CTAAAGTTTCTTCGGAAAGAATTTTTACGGAAAATTAACTAACGACCGGAGGCGTAACAATATCAATTATGTTTTTTATTCTGTTCTTTGTCCTGTATAGCTGACACAACTTTCTCTTACGGATGTTATTATCATTAATTCTTGTTTCTACATCGTTCTTATATTTACATTTTTAAACACTAATATATTTCTGTGGACAGGCATTAAATTTATTGCATATAGTTCGATATTTGTTTCTCTTATCGAATTTAAAAAAAAAATGTATAAAACAAATTCAGGTTTTATTTATTCACAAGTCAGATTACTATATAAACACATTTTAGGAAAATCTTTAGTATTTAGTTTGCCTCAAATCAGCATCACCAAAAGAGAAAATGAAAATAGAGAGATACAGTTAGTATTTCAAATTTGACGAAGGTTTTTATTAAGACGATTTACTCTACATTAAACTTAAACTTTTCGCTACTTATTGACTTTAGCAGCATAAAACTTAAAAGTTTCAATTCTCTCATTTGCTTTCAGATTGTACTGTGTATCTGAATCCAAGGGTTCACAGTTTGGATTCCACTGCGCAAAATCGCACCCTACACTTTAAAGCTGTGGATGTATTATAAGGGTGACGATCAAATCCCACTATTTTATAAGAGTAGTCCAACAGTTGACGGTGGGTGTCGTTGACTACCTGCTTTTCTTCTAGTTGTCCTCCGAAGGGTTAGCGGTAAATTTATGGACTTACAACGCTAAAATCTAGGGCTCCATTCTCCGCTGTGGACAGAACGCTGATAGTCTTTTGTGTAGTTCTGTATCTAAAAAAAATACAGACAAAACATTTTAGTCTAAAAGATTAAAAGTAAGAATAGCTAGCCCTTGTTTAGCTGTGTGTGAATATCTGACATAAACAAATAAATTAAGCTCCTCCTCTCTCTTTATATATATGCATATATCATGCAAGATTCAATATAATTAGAACTTATTAATATCAAAAAATATAATGACAGTTTTATCATAGAATTGTATTAGAGACAATTTTTTTCGGAGATTTGTTTTACAAGTTATTTACTTTATTTTTCGCTTTTTGAAATGTTTTCTATAAAGAATGAGCAAATGTTTTTCTAAAAATTATCATGATAATAATACTTTCGGTGCCCAAGGAATTTATATTTCACATCACATCCAGAATTTTATTATTTTATGAAATATAAACCAATATTTTAGGTAATATCATAACTAATAATTGATATATATATATAAGCATTTTATATGAAATTCTAAATATCATTGATTGATTATCTGAAAAATTCAGTGTCACGTGACGTAGGTGTCGCGATGTGGGCTCCATGTGGTTTTATTGTTACCTATATTATGTAAACTCAAATATTGTTTATTTAGTTTTGAATTAATTTGTTATCACAGTGAATTCAGTTTATAAATTTATTACTACCAGTGTGAATTTTGATTGGCACAAGGAATTATGAAACTTTCGTTTAAGGTTTGTATTTTATATATGATGTAAAAGTTCAAACCTAAGCCTATTTTCGTTGTGTTTATTTTAGGTTTACTTTAAATTCAATTCAGTTACTTGTTTTTGTGCAGCCTTGTGGCAGTTTATGTGATCGATGTAAATATAAAATAAACTGGGCGTTAGAGCTGAAGTATGAAATATTGAGGCTATTCATATTAACAAGTGAACTAATAAAAAGTTCAAGGCTAGACTTTGGAGTCTACGATTTGCCCATTAACATTCACTTCTCTTAATGGAGTTAAGTATCGGTTGTGGACCCTAATTTATCCCCTCCTCAATTAATAACAGAACGTAATTGCGATTTTTTTTATTGTTGACAACCCGTTATAGAACCATTTTACAAATTTCTTATAAACTAAAAGCAAGTTGAAATTTCATGTTTAGAATATCTTTTCATAAAATAAAATAATTTAAAGTAAGTTTTGTGGTATGTTACTGTAGGAAGAGAGAGAAGTGATTATCAAAACGTATAAAATTTTGTTGCATCCCTTTGAAATTTTCCTTTTTTTGAAAAGTGTAACAATTAACTATTCCTGATCTCCATATGCAGTAAGTCATCAGACCTAATAGTGCAATAATCATTTGCAACAAGATGTTCCCCAGTTTTCACCCTCTCAACCATTTTTATATTAGAACTTAATAAATCTAAGATAGCGTTATTTCTAGTAGGTTCCCTGACCAATTGGTGAAGAAAACCATCTTGAACAGTTTCTAAAAACCTTTCTCCCTCATGGTTTGACTCTAGCATTTCCCAGTCTATATATGTCTATAATTAAAAATCACCCATAATTATGACCTCATTAACAGCTGAAATCTTAATATTGCTTCCTAATTTCATCTGTAACAAATTCCCACTAAAATCCTTTTCCCTTTGTATTCACTAACAGAAACCCAAACAGATTCTGCTTCATTGCTGTCAGCTTTGATATCTTCGACTTGATGTAACTCACATTTTACACATAAAGTTACTCCACCCCTTTTCTTAGTACTCTATCCCTATCATGCAGTCTAACCTTATATCTAAAAGAAATTTCTGTTATGAAATTTTTGAACATTTAACCAAGTTTAAGTTATTCCCATTTAATCAAAATCCTCCATTCCAGCCAGTGTTCTAAGGTCATCTGTTTTATTTCTTATACTTCTAGCATTACATTAATAATAATTTAGCCTAACTTAGAACTAATTCTGCACTTTGTTCCTACATTGCACTGTTTTTCTACATCTGATTTTTTCTGAATTTAGTTTATCTGGGTCCTCATCACTATCTAGTCCTAGTTTAAAGTTGACTTTACAGATGAGTTAATAACTCTTGCAAACAAAGCAACCCCTACCTTATTTAAATGTAAACCACTGGACTGATCTAACTGACCAATCTGCTTGTCATTATATATTTACCTAAGCCTAACATTCAGCCCAAGTGATATATTTATAATTTCATTCCTACAATTAAGTTTCGGTAGTATTCCTGACACAAGTTATGGTCCTTTTCTTATGATACATCTGTCAGTGGAGCCTTTAATATAATAAAATAGCTTTGGTGCTTGTTGAGCTTTAATCTAAAATAATTTGTTTGAAAATATCCAAGTACTTGATCCTTGAAGACAGAAGTTTTCTGCATCATAAGCCATTCATCTTGGTCTACATTTTTTTGGTGTGATGGATAGTCAGTAAAGTTTAAAAAAAAACTTGCACTTTTAGTGTTTATGTAGCTAGTAATATCCAAACATCGATTTTAAAGACACTTTAGTATTTAGGTACTTCTTATGAGATGTTACCAACTTCCATTCTCTTTGTTCTCTCATTAATATACAATAAAATATAAACTGTTTTATTAATGTTAAACACCAATTTTGTTTGTCCTGGATTAACATAAAAATAAGTGACAGAATGTGGAGATTTTAATTCTTGTAAGTTATTCTTACAGCAAGCATCGCGTTGAGTAACCTTGAGTTTTTAACAAATGATGCATTTCTGTTTTGTTTTTTTCCCCTAATTTAAGCCAAATATCTTAATTTTGTTTTGTATTTGGTCCTTAAATTCATCATTTGGTTTATAAAATTGTACAATCTCTTCAGGATTAATTTTAGTTGGCTTTGATGTAATACAGTGTTTTCTGATTTAATCTGGTTTTACACGAAGAAGTGTTATGCAGAAAATAAAAAGTTACCCAGGACAGATTCCTCTTCTTCCAAGTTACAGAAAGGGTTTGGGTAATGTTATTGGCTACCTACACATTTCTAATTTCAAGTGTAACTACTAAGTCGTTATATTAAATCATCTATTTCATGGACAACTGAAATGATTAGCTCCGAAAGGATGTAGTAAATTCTGTATTACAATGATAACTTAAATTATCCATTTTTACTTTAAATGATAACATAAGTAAGTTGGATTAAAAAACAATTGTGTTATTTATAAATAATACATTGAATAAACATTTTAATATTTCTATTACAGTTTTCCAATCTTTTAGGAACTGTTTATCGCAAAGGGAACATTCTGTTTTCTCCGGATGGAAACAGTGTTATTAGTCCAGTTGGAAACAGAATTACTATTTTTGATCTCAAAAAGTAAGTTTATTGTATAATAAATATTTATTTTTATTTTGAAAATTGTAGGTTGTAATTTTCAGAAAGCCAATTTTGATGTTATTACACAAGATTTATCATAAATTAATTGGGACAATGAGTTAAAAGATGGTGTAGAAAAGATATGTGAAATTTTTAAAGATAAAGTTGTCTCTAATGAAAGATACACATGTTCCTAAAAAAGCTAGAGGAGCATTCAGTAGAGAGCATACCTCCACAATGCAATTTTGATAATATTCAGCTCTCACAAAATACAGTTCATAATATATTTGTTGGATGATATTACATAATATCAGAGTTTGATACATTTTCCAACCTGAAAAGTGTTTTAAAGAACGTAATATTATAACTAAACTCTATCATCAAGCAAACAATTTCATAAGTTTCCACCTCTAATCAAAGCAAAATTTGGCCTTTCAAAGCTTAATATTAAATTTTGCATTTCCAACTTTTCATTCCACAATTCAGACAAACTAACCAAAGGCAGACTGTCTGAACTCTTGCTAATTTCATGTGTTCAATTGTAATCATCTTGAGTAGTTTAAGTACTTCAATGTTTTTCTGAGAACAAATCACAAGTGAAATTCAAAATATCTTTAGATTCCTAGAGTTCTGTTTATGTTTCTTGCTACACTTAAATAATTAGCCAAAAGTTGTATTTTATTTAATGAAGATACACAGTTATTTTCTTCTAACCCAAGATACCTCTTTTTTTTCATAATCTAAGTATTGATATATATGTCTCTTTAGGTAGTGAAACATATTTACCAGAATAAGTGCCCATTTCCTGTTCAAGTATGGATGTATACATCTCTTTAGGTAGTGAAACATATTTACCAGGCTAAGTGCCCATTTCCTGTCCAAGTATGGACATATACGTCTCTTTAGGTAGTGAAACATAGTTACCAGAATAAGTGCCCATTTCCTGTCCATGTATGGACGTATACGTCTCTTTAGGTAGTGAAACATATTTACCAGGCTAAGTGCCCATTTCCTGTCCATGTATGGACGTATACGTCTCTTTGGGTAGTGAAACATAGTTACCAGGCTAAGTGCCCATTTCCTGTTCAAGTATGGACATATACATCTCTTTAGGTAGTGAAACATATTTACCAGGCTAAGTGCCCATTTCCTGTTCAAGTATGGACATATACATCTCTTTAGGTAGTGAAACATATTTACCAGGCTAAGTGCCCATTTCCTGTTCAAGTATGGACGTATACATCTCTTTGGGTAGTGAAACATAGTTACCAGGCTAAGTGCCCATTTCCTGTCCAAGTATGGACATGTACATCTCTTTAGGTAGTGAAACATATTTACCAGGCTTAGTGACCATTTCCTGTCCAAGTATGGACATATACATCTCTTTAGGTAGTGAAACATAGTTACCAGGCTTACTGTATAATTAAGTATTCTAATTTTTATTGATAAACTCAAAATGAAGTTTACAAAGTAAACTTTTGATAGACCATAAAAATCACATTTTACCAATCAGAAAATGTCCAATTATCACTATCCCTCTGATTTCTATAACAAAGCCACATAGCATAAGAATCTTTATAATCAATTGTCTGTGTGTAACCTTCTGATTGTGATTTTACAAAGATATTTGTTAGAGCACCCACAAACTTTCTACCAAGAGTTAATCTAATCAGTAGAGTTTTATCTTCTTGGAGATTCCAAATTCTCTGTCTAATAATGTCATCTTCTTGGTCTGCAATAAAAGCTGAAGTGTTTAGTTAATTTTTTTATGTTTATTTCAATCATAATGAATGGACTTTCACTGAAATGGTGAAACATTGGATTATTTGTTTCTGAATGATATTTAGTTTTTATTATGTACAAGAAATGTTATCAACAGAAGGAACTGTTAAACTTTCTGCCAGTTTTTAGAATTCCATCTCATAGTTTCTGGATCTTAAATCAGACTAAGTTCGAAAAGCACAAACTCGTTACTTGTTTGTTTTTTTTTTGGTCAGTAAACAATGGAGCATGAATTAATCTTTGAACATTTTATAGAGTATAAAGAAAGGAGAATAAATTTAACGTTTCTTCTTCTTCTTCACCTTCTGGATAGCATGGAGATTTAGTATATAAAACCCTGAGTGCTTCACAGTTAAGTCTAACATTCATACTTGTGAGTTCATATTGACGTAAAAGGGGAAAACTATTTGTGCTCTTTTATAAACTGCATTAATTTAAGCTTTTATGTTTCTTCATAATGTTTGTTATTTTATAGCAACAAATCCGAAACTTTGCCGATTGAAAGCAGATACAACTTTACATCCATAGCTTTGGCACCAAATGGCTGTATTCTTATTGCCGTCAATGAAGGTACCCAAATTCTGGCTTTTTTATATAATTTTGTCATAGTTACGTTAGTTAACTGTTAAAATGTAACAAACTATAAAAACTGTTACATAGTTAACTGTTAAAATGTAACAAACTATAAAAACTGTTACATAGTTAACTGTTAAAATGTAACAAACTATAAAAACTGTTACATAGTTAACTGTTAAAATGTAACAAATTGTAAAACTGTTACATTAGTTAACTGTTAAAATGTAACAAACTATAAAAACTGTTACATTAGTTAACTGTTAAAATGTAACAAACTATAAAAACTGTTACATAGTTAACTGTTAAAATGTAACAAACTATAAAACTGTTACATAGTTAACTGTTAAAATGTAACAAACTATAAAAACTGCTACATTAGTTAACTGTAGAATTGTAAATTTCAAACGATTCCTGAAACATAATACGTATTTGATGTGAAAGCTATGACAACAG